CCTCCGAGCTTTGTCGGTATCCAAGATGGAGATCACCGGTGCTGGGTGGGGGGGGAGGGGTGGCCTTCCCTCCTCTGCTCCCTGAGAAGGAGTGAGGATGTCGGGCTTCTACTCACGCTGAGTCTTGGATCCTGGGTCGTCTCTGGTCTGCAAGCTGCAGGATGAAGATGTCCACTCCTTGTTGGGTCTTGCTGGTGTTGAGTAGAATCCGCTCACCTGCTGCGTCTGGCTCCTTCGTCCCGGACTCTCTGTGTGAGTGCTCAGGTATGGCCATGGCTACACTCGCTGCTGTGACCCTGCCGCCGCCGCCGCGGCTGCTGGCAAGCGCTCAGATGTGTCTCCTTCTCTTGGCTTCCCCTCTCTTGTCTAACTCTCTGTCCTGTGATGGCACACTTGGTGTGATTCTCTGGCTTAGGACTGTTCACTGGAACTCTAAAACTGCTTTCTACGTGAGAGCTTGTTCAGATTCCAGCTTCTCCTCTGCCATCTTCCGGGAACTCCTCCCCCTTGTTCTTGTTTGACTTCAGATTAGAAGGCCTAGAAAGTTGTTCATATTGGCTTCTAATCTTTACATCTACAAGTAAACCCAATGGATAGTAAAAGAAAAATAATTCCATCTAGACATGATTAATTAAACAGCTGTCTAAACATCCACAGAGTGAGCAAAAGGAGGATATTCACAGGAGCAAAACACAAAGGCTTAGTAGCTATGCACATATGACCATGTATTTTTTGACCATGTATTATTTCCAAGAAATGGAAACAATAAGGTTTTTTAAATGTGCTGTTTGAAATTCTCGCCTTTCTTTATTCTATTTTCCCCCCAGACAATCTGCTCTGTTGCTCCCCATGCACTCATGAAGGTCGCTCACCCAGCCATTAGGGAGGTTTGAGTTCAGGGCTATATCACTGTGGGAGGCCAATGTGTATGTTGAAAGCAGTAATAAACTCCAATATCCTCAATATCCATCCTGCTGATTTTGAGAGTGAAATCTGTGCCAGACCCACTGCCACTGAATCTATCTGGGACCCCAGGAAATCGGTTGGAGACCTCATAGATCAGGAGTTTTGGAGACTGGCCTGGTTTCTGCAAGAACCATTTCAAATAGGTATTTCCATTGCTATATAGGAGGTTCTGACTAGACTTGCAGGAGATGGAGGCCGGCTCTCCCAGCATGACAGACAGGGAGAGGGGAGTCTGGGTCAGCACAACATCTCCACTTGATGCTGAAATTAGAATAAGATAGAAGTGCAAAGTTATGTGCAAACATAGAGAAGCATGGCTTTTTTAATTTGAATTTTGATACATATTTCTTATTGATAATATTTCATGGTTTGACTAATAATCTTATATGTTTATATGAAAAATAGGATTCACTTACATTATTCTCACCAAGCAAAGTCTTCATCAAAGTAAAGTTAGTTTTAGCTCCTTCTGAATTATTTTGCTTTCTCCCAAACCTAAACCTCACTTGTCCCATCATAGAAAACAACCCCTGAACATCTCCCACACAGATAGGGCACAACTGGGCACTAAGACCACCCTTCCACCTCATTCTTATTCCTCACCTCCCTTTGCCCTTACCAGGGATCCAGAGCATTAACAGCCACAGGAGCTGAGACAAGGACTTCATTTTTAGGAGTGAAATGAGGGGTCTTGTCAGGTCCAGGCAAGTTTAGAACTGAGTCTTTATTTCAGACTTAGAAAGGAAGGCCCTCCTTAGGGAGAAATATGCAAATAGCCAGGTGGGTGCAACAGTGTGAGAAGAGCCAAGACGTGGGTAAGACCTGCTTTTCTGAAAAAGTTATGTATCATGTGTTATGTGGTGATAATCAATAATATCCATGATGCCTACAGCACTGGGAAGTGGGATCCCACTCTGAAAGTTTGGTTTTTGGAAGGAACATATGCACCCACCAACCTAAAACTGCATCAGATACACAAAGATATGTAGGTTTATGTCCAGGACAGTCTCTAGGAAAGAGACTGAGCTCCTCTGAACCTAATTCAGCTAGTTCAGAAAATGGCTGTGTCCACCAACAGCAGCACTGACCTTCAAGGGAGTTGACCAATAAGATTTGACCTAGATGAAGAGGCATCTGATACCACTCTCCTTCTCTCAACTTTCTGACCTGTACTTAATGATTCCACTACAAGAATCCTGGTGGAAGCATCATCCATGACAAGTGTGATTACACTTTGTAAAGTAAAACATGAAATGGTCAAAAACATGAAATGGTCAAAAACTCTCATATGGGCAGACATGACTCCCTGTAATATCATGGTACAAGAGTCCATGTATGTCTCAGGTGCCTGACAGAGAGCCCCAGGTTCAAGTTCCTGTTTACAAGGGGAAACAGGCAGCACTTCAGCTCTTTCCCAGAATGAGAAAGCTTGGTTTCTGAGTAGGACACTGTTAAACTTTTGTTGAGAGTCCACATGCTGAGAAGCAGGGAGGAAAGCTGGAAAATACCTTCATTCACAAGGATACATTCATGCTCAATGTAGTCACACTGGGGCTGGAGCCTGAGTCGTCCTTTCTTACCAAGGTCAAAGCTGCAAGATGGAGTGTAACAAAGATAAGGACTCCATGTCCCAAAGTCAACTCCTAAGGCTGATCCTGCTCAGAGAGAGCTGGTTTGGTGTCTTACTTTGCCTTGTCTGCCGTAAGGAACCAAAGTAGCTGGAGCAGACTTCATTAATCAGGATTTATTTTTATCAAAGTTCTGGAGGTTGAGGAAATCACAAGAGCTAACTGTCCTAATGATTCACCTTCTTGCCATGTCTTCATAGTCTTGATGCCTGTGAATAGGCTTTGAGACCGAGTCTCTTGGAACATTTTCTTCTAAGGACACTGGTGAAATGTATGGAATTCACTCTTCGGGATACTACCTCTCTTTAAAAATTTAAGTAGTTATACAAAGGAGTTGCCATTCAACAAAGTGGTTCATGAATAAAAGGAATCTTGTTTAATATCACACTTTTATAGTTCTCTCCCATCTTTCTCAAACAATGGCTTTCTCAATTTTCTTGTTTCAGGAAGTGCATTGGATTTTATGGCTGCAATCTCCCACTCCCCACTTTCTTAATCTTTATTTACTTCTTGCAGGTAACTTCTCCATATATCCACACATACGGGGCACAACCCCTTCCTTCAGAGATGACTTTGGTGCCTTAGAGAAGGCAGGGATAGAGGCAATACCAGGCTTCCTGTCTCAGAAGCTGCAATGACAGAGGCTTTCCCTCCCCACCCTCAACATCCATCCTGCTAGATAATACCTGTGTTTGTGTTTGGGGTTCTTGCTCTGTTCAGAGTTTCAGTTGGTGTCACTAGTGATGGCAGACATTATTTCCCTTATTTCCTTGGTATTTCTCAGAGAGGAAGCTCTGTGTGAGTGGCATGAAGTCTGTCATCTAGTGGTCATTCTGTGAAAATGCATCTTGTAACATTACAGAAACTAGACTTTATTAATGCAACTCCCTTCTTCCCCTTCTTCCATTTCCGTTTGCATATATTATTTTTCCAGAGGAATTTCATTTTCAAACTTCCATACATTCAATTTATTTGATCATGCTTATCTCTCCATACTTTATTCCCCTACTATCCACTGTTTTTGGAGGGGTGCAGTCATGGGGTTTGAACTCTTGGCCTGGGTGTCGTCCCTGAACTTTCAACTCAAGGTGAGCGCTCTACCACTTGAACCACAGTGCCACTTCCAGTTTTCTGGAGATGAGTCTCATGGACTTTCCTGCCCTGCTCCTTCTCTTCATGCATGCTATTTGGGGTACTGTGATCAGGATATTAAAGTAAGATGATAATGGTGAGAACATTTGTCAATCCATCTCTTTGGTTTCTTCTTCCAGTCTGTCTGTCTGTCTTCAACAGAAGATGTTGTGACATCCCCTAGAACCTCAACAAGTGTCATCACCCTAGAGGAACAGTCATGTGACTCACCTTAGTCATCCTTGCTTTAAATTTGAGAATGCAGCCACTACTTAACTATATTTCAGCAGCACAAAATGACATGCAACTAAAACATAGCCATTTTATCATCAATTTGTCACCTTATCAATGTTAAATTGTGGGGAATAAGGAGACAAAACTCAGATTGAAAGGGTTGAAGGGTTATGGGATGGAAAGGACTAAAAACAAACATTGAAACTCCTGGAGCAATTTAGCTGCTGTGAGGTGGTAGAGAATGGTTGGCATCTGTACACAAGCTTATTATCATGATGTACAGAGGAATGGTAGTTTAAAAACTGAAAAGATTGAGTCATATCTGAAGGTCAAAGAGAAGAATCCAGTTAAGAAATAATTAAATGGAAGTGAAAATTCTGATTTCTGTTTCACACTGAAAGTAATTTTCATGAATTCCAACCTATGAAGGAAAAATATTAAAGAAAAAAGTCTTCCTGCTGAAATTTGCTAGAAAATATTTTTGGCTACAAAAATCATGACCAATAACAAGGAGCCATTGAGCATTGAAATAAAAAATAAGCTGACTGGACACCAGGAAGATGGCACAAATACTGTAGGGGGAGTCAGATCAAGGGGAGGGTCCAGATGAATGGAGAGAGGAAGGATGGGAAAAGGCAGTCATAATATACAAGGTACATAGGTGAAAATGGAAGCAGGTCACCGTAGGGCACAGGTAGGGTTGAGAGAGATGGGCAGATGATGAAAGGGGTGACATTGATCAAAATATATAGTGCCATAAACTGACATTATAAAACTACTTAAAGATGTTAAAGAAAAAAGACAAAAGAGTTTTTATTCATTGGAAATTGAAAGATGCATTTGCAGCATCAAATATGGGAAAAAATTCAGAAAAGTGTAAAGAAGAAAAAATCACACTTCTTTCCCCCAGACATATAAAACCAAAACTTCCTTCTCTATGTTTTGGTCTTTACTATTTGGTGCCAGTCCTGGGGATTAAACTCAGAGCCTGAGGGCTGGGAAGATGGCTCAGTGGTCGAGCACTTGCCTTGCATGCCTGGGGCCCTGGGTTCAATTCCTCAGCACCACATAAGCAAAAAGAAAAAAGCCGGAAGTGGCTCAAGTGGTAGAGTGCTACCTTGAGCTGAAGGGCTGAGGGACAGTGCCCAGGCCCAGAGTTCAGGCTCCACGACCGGACCCCCCCCCCAAAAAATACTCAGAGCCTGAGTGCTCAAAGCTAGCACTCTGTCACTTGAGTCACAGTTCTATTTCTGGCTTCTGGTTGGTTAATTGGAGATAAAGGTCTCACAGACCTTGCTGCCAAGGGTGGCTCTGAACCTCCATTCTCAGATTTCAGACTCCTACAAGGCTAGCATTGCAGACTTGAGCACTTGTGCCTGCTAAGCTTCACTTTTGATAAAGGATTTGGCTCTTTGATGATTGCAACCAACTCAGTGTGGTCAGGGTTTCGACTTGTGAAAATAGAGTCTGGTTCTGTCACATAAGCTCACTGCTATCCAAGCAGGGTTTCTGCAGCCCAGGCTGGTGATGGAAATCCACACAAGATTCCCTCATACCCTGGTCAGAAAGAGGGGTGTGTGTACTCTTTTCTAAGCTTAGCTCTAGAAAATTTTCTTGGAAATTAGAATTTCTCATGCTTTCAAAAGAATAAAGAAAGGAGCTGGAAGGAACTAGTCTACAACACCTAAGTACAACAGGTAGACATTATATTAACAGGTGGTGTGTGCATCATCATTATGATGTTTGTATTATAACAAATGGATCATTAGGGATTGAATAATATAGTGTGATAAGGATTATATATTGAGTTTTTGCATGTACCCTTCATGCTATGCCATATATATATATATATATATATATATCCACTTTATATATATATAGATATATATTTTGGGGGGGGTTCCGGTCGTGGGACCTGAACTGTGGGCCTGTGCGCTGTCCCTCAGCTCTTCAACTCAAGGCTAGCAGTCTACCACTTGAGCCACAGCACCACTTCTGGCTTTTTTTTTGCTTATGTGGTGCTGAGGAATCAAACCCAGGGTCTCAGGCATACAAGGCAAGTGCTCTACGACTGAGCCACCTTCCCAGCCCCACATAGTATATTTATATATTTATGTTCACATATACAGATCACATACAGAGGGAACCTTCTCTATTGCTGGCATCCAGATCCACAGGCTCAGCCCAATGAAGAACAGAAAATACAAGAGAAAGGTTACTCCTATTCTGAATGTGTACAGTTTTTCTCTGACATTCTTTTCTTAAAATGCAATATAACAACTATTCACATTGCATTTGCATTTTTATTAGGCATTACCATGATTCACACAAACACACACACACACATACACACACACACACAGGCTATTTGCAAACCTTACCTCATTTTACACTAGGAAATTCAGCTTTCAATCCAACCATGACTGCAAGGATCCACTGAAGCCGTCTCTATGGTTTGATGCTGTTCTTTCCAAATGGATCAGAGCAAAAAAAATTATAATGATCATCTCAGGGTGGCTTTCATGAGATAATCAAT